TCTGGGCTGAAGAATGGTTGGACTCACTGGTCCATTTCTGGTGCGACAATCAAGCGGTTGTTCAAATTATAAACAACCTCACGTCGCACTCAGAATGGATCATGGTATTAGTCAGGGCCTTTACCTTGCGGGCACTGCAGTTTATGTAGTGGTGCATGCCCGCCATGTTCCAGGTATAGACAAATAAGACAGCTGATGCTCTATCATGCCAACAGATCGAGCGGTTCAGGGAGCTAGCACCAGAAGCTAGGGAGCTGCCATAAGTTCTTCCTTCAGAAGTCTGGCCGATTGGAATGAAGATGCATCCAGAGCAATAGGTTTGGCCCTGTCACCTAGGACAACGAAGGGTTACATGGCCGTGAGTATAGAGTTTCAGGATTTTAGGAAACTGGCTGGCCTGGAGCAGATTTGGCTTGCCCCAGTTGAACATCTGGGACATTCTGCATGACCTTAAGTGGTTGAATGCCAGGTATCCTTTGATGCAGATCTTTTGGTCCACTATTATTCCTCGGTTAGCCTGGCGAGGCTCTGTGAGAACTGTTGATGTTAACAAGACCTGGCAGGGCATTAACAGAGAAGTGTGCAGAGGCATCTGCAGCGGCCTTGGGTCGGTGATAGGTCACCACAGGATTCAAGTGGAGAAGCCTGAATTATTCAGGAGTGATGGGGTCTGGAAATATTTTTGGAGGACATCAAAGGGGGCCTGCTTGTTGAGCTCGAGTGGCTCTGTGGCGGGCATGGGACATAGCATGGCTAGTCCCATGCTGTGGTGGTAGTGCAGAAAGAACAGGTATTTTCGGTGCATCCCAGTTGTTATATCAGGTAACCCAACAGCACATCCAACCTCCTGGCACTGCGGATCATGCAATTACAGTGCCTGGGGGGGGAGATGCGCTGGGCCACTTCTGGACCAATAGTCATCAGCTAAAGATGGGTTGAGGTCTGGGGGTATTTATTAGCAGCTGGCCAGATTCCTGCTGTCTGGAGACCACTGGAACTTGGGGCTGGGGACCTACCCATTTATGGATTATGGGGTATTTGGATACCCCTGCCTTTCACCTGTTTCTGCACTACAGCAGGCCCCCTCTTTTTTTTTTTACAAAGGATGGCAAATTTCATATTTGATGTTATCAATAAAGTATGGCCCATATTTAACCCATATCATTGTCTCGTGTCTTTATTCCGGGGTTGGGATTGCAATCATTCCATAGCAGGAACAACCACCTTCCCCTTCCCAATCATTACTCCTTTTCCTTACTTTCAAGTGATGTATTCAGGAATCACCTAATCTCTAGTCATATATGGTTTTAAACAATTGGCATGATAAACTTTTGGCTTAAGTCCATTTTCAGACCTGTCAGTTAAATAATTAACAATACTAAGGATTTTCTTCATCACAAAAGGGCCTTCTCAAACAATCTGAAGCTTACTATGTCTGAAAAGATACAGGACTAGCACCCAGTTCCTCCACATTAAGATCACGGTGCCTTCCTTTTGCACATCCCCCCTCCTGGGCCTGAAGATCACACCCCAACTGCCTACATCATTGAAACACCACCTATAGACACACTCCCATCTTTATAAGGACGTATCACAACTAATTGCCTAAGAAAAAGCCTTATGCACTTACTTTCATAAGCCATTCTGGCTTGAAAAACTAAAACCTCACCCCTGCAGCAGCAGAGGAAAAAATCAGCTTCAGAAGCAAAAAGAGCTGGACCAATTTGAATCAGCCTTTGCATCATGCAATCAGTACAAAAGGTAAAGGTAAAGGTTCCCCTTGACAATTTTTGTCCAGTCGTGTTCGACTCTAGGGGGCAGTGCTCAACCCCGTTTCAAAGCCATAGAGCCAGTGTTTTGTCCGAAGACAATCTTCCGTGGTCACATGGCCAGTGCGACTTAGACACGGAACACCGTTACCTTTCCACCGTGGTGGTACCTATTTATCTACTTGCATTTGCGTACTTTCGAACCGCTAGGTTGGCAGGAGCTGGGACAAGCGATGGGAGCTCACTCCGTCGCATGGATTCGATCTTACGACTGCTTGGTCTTCTGACCCTGCAGCACAGACTTCTGCGATTTAGCCCACAGCGCCACTTTGCATCATGCAATCAGTACAAAATGCTTCAAATTCACCTGTTTTATAAGCAGAGCTGAATGAAGATTTGGACACAATTTTCCTTAGTCCAACAGTCTGTCCAGTACCACAATGTCATATGTAAGGTAGGTGCCCTCAGAATCTATCCTTCTTCTTTACTTCTGTGGTTGCATAGTTTTCTTCTAGTCTATGAAAGGGAAGTCCTCATTTCAACCATCCAGTTTCCTCCGTATGATGCACTGTTCTCAGTGTAGCCAGCAACATGATGAAGGTAACTATATTAATCAACAGTTCACTATTTATCTGAAATTATCGTGTGTTTTGCATGAACTTGCTGGTAAGATGTCTGCTAGCCCAACCCCAAATTAAAAAAAAAAGATTAGAATGCATGATGGCTTTATTTTGTTTCTTCTTCAGCATCATCCATCTGAATTGAAAGCCATTTGTTCTGACATCCAAAGCCTTTCATCACCACCACCGTAAACACCCCAAGGCTGGGCTGTCTCAAACAGGTTTCACACTCTTTCCTCTCAAAGGTCACCTATTTCCATTAGCAGGGGAAGAAAACCAATCACAGAATTGCCACAGTATACCTAGGTTTCTGAATTTAAAATATATTATAGCAAGTACATCTGTGCTTTGGGAATTACATTCATCCAAGCCCTCAGTGAAAAAAGGGCGGGGGGAAAACAGGGAAAACTCTACATTAATCTCAACATGTGTTGTTAAGATTTGAATACTGTAAAAAGCGTCCACCTGTTTGAGAGATCTGGGAACTGCAATCTGTATTTCTGGTCCCAAAAGTTCTTTCAGGCAATCAAAGACCAAAATTATGCATTCACTGTGTAGCATAAGAATGTGTATTTTGATGCACAGTAAATTGTCTTGGCCAATTTCCTCCTCTTACGGCAGTTTTGAGTAACAATGAAAAAAGTTGTACTAAGTTCTGCATAACCACGGCTTCCTGGAGTTCTAGTTCTTTTAACTCTTCAAGAAGGCAGATGAATATACAGCCAGTAAGTCCTGAAGAGCTCGATAAGTTAGACATGGAGTTTGATTCCCCACTGTGCCCCCTTCAGAGAAAACCCTCTAGGAAAAGATGCACAGCTGCCAAATATTTCTAGAAGAATGCCAATTCTAAACCACTTCTGAGTATTCTGTACCAAGAAATGACATGTTTAATGGTTTTTAAATGTTGTAATAATGTATTGTTAACTTGTAGCTTTTTTTTTAATACTATAAGCCGCCTTTAGGAGAAAGGCAGCATAAAAATAATTTAAATCAGTAACTAGAATAATAATAGAAAACCCTGAAAAGGGTCACCATAAGTAAGAATTGAACAACATAGAGTTATTACTTTTAAGTCCAAAAGAGGAAATACACAGTAGTTACTGTTGTTCGCTCTGCGAGGTATGTCTACTGTATTTGCAGTACAGTGGGGTGGGAGCTCTGAACTAGATGAAGGAGATTGATGCTGGATGTCAGAAGACATGCGGACAACAGATGCCTAGCTGCCCAGGATTGGCACTCCTCAATTCTTTTGTTGTTTATGACAATGGATTTTACCATACCCTGGAAGAATTACTTTTTTGGACGAAAACTCCCCAAATCTCCCAACTGGCAAGGTTAATGGCTGGACTTTGCCTAAAGGAGAGTAGATAAATCATGCAACCCAATTTGGCTTCTGCTGATTCCACAGTACGGAGACCCAAGTTACAGCAGGATATGCTGTGATAAAGAAGTAAAGGTTATGTTCTCTTTTGACAGTTTTAAAGACTAGCTGTAATTAAATTTGCCTCTAACACTAATGAGCTCATGGTTCCCTTTCAAGGCTGAGAAAAGTAGTAATGAAAAATTAACCAGTCCTTCTATTATCAGTACTGAAAACTGATTTTAAAGGTGTGCTTTTGAGGTTTAACTCTGCCTAACTCCCTGTTCAGAAAGAAAGCTTACTGGGCCAGGAACAGGCTCAACTGGTGCTAGGCCTAGCTAAGTCTCAAAGCCTTCCATCTTAGGCCTTTCTCCCAGGTGAGCCACATTTCAAGGGTCTGTCTGTCAGGTAGGACTCCCAGACTGGAGAGTTAGAGAACTCATAGTCCAAGAAACTTTGAAAAAATCCCATCCTTAATCCCTGTATGTTTACTCAGAAGTAAGCCTCGTGGTATGCATTGCTGTTCATTTCCATGCAAGTGTACTTTGGGCTATAGCCTGACAATGTAATTTGAAGCACGTTTACTCAGTATAAGATGCATTAAACATAGTGGGTTTATTCTTCTGAGTAAATGTGCTTCAAATTGCCCTGCAAATCTGGAACACTTCCCCATTCCATTTTATGGAACACGCAACATCCAAACTAAAAAAGAGCTTCAGTAATCTCAAAAGCTTGTACAGAGTTGAAACATTTTCATTTTTTCTTAATTCTTAATTGTCTGAACATTTCTCTTCCAAGCATTTATTTGTCCTATATAGAACTGATCCATACATAAGTATCTGAAAGGGGTTCATATGATTTAAAACACACATGGGATCTCATGTGATTTAAAATATACATACACACATCCTATCCCTTCATTTACTTAATATATGAACTTCCAGGGGCAGGGGACTGACTTTTTGAAGTCTTTTTGGAGTAAAAAGGTGTACATTGATTGCACTATACAATCATTACTAGCAATATTACTACTAGTAGTAGTAGTAGTAGCAGCAGCAGTAGTAACAGTAGTAGTAGTAATAATGAAATAGTTTCTATTAAGAAATAGTAGTAGTAGTAAAAGGTATGAAGAAAAGCAACTGCAGAAATAATAATAATAATAATAATAATAATAATAATAATAATAATAATAATAATAATAATAATAATAATAATAATTAATAATAGTGCACATTTTCCATTCCTTTAAAAGCCAGGATATTTTTACTTCAAGGAGAGCCCTGCTTCATGCTTCTTCATTGTTTCCTAGAAGAATTAAAAATGTCATAACAGGCAGTTAAGCATCCAAGGTTCCCTCTCCCTGAATGCTAAACTTATAAACATAACAGCAGTTGCCATGGAATGCAAAAGGAGTACATATTGAAGTGTGATGAAAATAGTCACAACCTTATTTAGGAACATTATCTTACCCAAGTTAAATGTGCCTTAAGTAACCCTATAACAGTCCTATGTCAAAGGAGAATTACATGGAATGAAGCATTCAGCCAAAACATGGTCTTTAACAAAAACAGGCACCGGAGCCATTAAACTCACTTTACCCAAACAACTGGTTCCTCCAGAGAGAAAGTTAGAGTGTTGGAGGACTGATGCTGTTAGAGCAGTAAGATATGTGAACCTTTGCGACCACCACTAGGACTGGGGTAAAAAAAGAACTACCCCTCATGTGATTTAGATCAATTTATTCAGTCATAACCATCCCTTTTGTTATGATTTTAGTTTCCAAAATTTGGACGCATTGGGGAAAAAAGACAACCTGGCATGCTTCTTTTTTTAACCCTGGGTGGCAGTGTGGAGTACATCCTGTTTGCTTCTGGTTACTAGGTACTGCCAATGACTAGCTTAACAGAGCCCCGCTCCCCGCCCTGCCTGGTCTCTCACCCCTTCCTTCCTCTTGTTTGTCAGCTGCCTCTCCTCTCTCCTTCCTCTCCTTCATTTTCTGCTCTTTGAAGATATAGGGGTGAAGACATAGCTCTACACTATATAAAAAGAGAAGGACAAAAGTGTATACTGTAAGTAAAGCTGTCTAATTTCCTTTAACCAAGAAGCATCCAGATGCATCATATTTGTTTTCCAAGAGAGAACTCTCCACACTTTTCTCAGCACCAAAAAGAAATCCATTGAAGAAGACCAGAAGACAAACCAATGTAATGTCACATGGGGCAAACACTTATACACCAATTGCAAAATAATATCTATGCAAGAGTGGGTGATGTAGATTTCCTACACTACTGTACTTCCTAAATAAATATTGCTACATATATCCCATCTCTGCTCCTGGCTTTTTGGTATGCTGGTGCTATAGAAACACATCACCAATACAAACTCCTTTATACAGCGCTGCCTCGCAAGACGAGCGCTTCCTTTAACGATGAAATCGCATAACGACAAAGTTTTGCAATCTCAAAAGCAATCGCAAAACGATGTTTCTTATGGGGTTTTTTTGCTTTGCGATGATCGGTTCCCTGCTTTGCTAACCGAGTATCGCAAAACGACGATTTTCGCACAGCTGATCGGCAGTTTCAAAATGGCCGCCGGGCAAAAAAATGGCCGCCCGCTGTATGGCCGCGCTATAGAGGATCTCCGCTGGATGGTGAGATTCAAGTCCATAGGAACACATTAATCGGGTTTTAATGCGTTTCTATGGACTTTTTAAAATTGCTTTTCTATGGGCTTTTTAAAATTGCTTTACGATTTCGCTGTAACGAATTAGCATCGTAATGTGAGGTACCACTGTACTGATCAAATCAGCCCTAGTGCTAGTTAGGAGTGGGGAAAATGTCAGTAGTTCCCAACCTTGGGTAACCCAGGTGTTCTTGGACTACAACTCCCAGAAACCATGGCCAGCTCAGCTAGTGATGAAAGTTCCTGGGAATTTTAGACCAGCAACATCTGAGGACCCATTGGTCTAATTCCTTTGCTTCTGTTCTCCTACAGATTCATCTCCCTGTCAAGAGGCCTGCTTGTGAAAGCAAACATAGAAATTCCCTTTTATAGCAGGTGCCTTGAAACCTGGAACCTTCTTTGTATGGGAATCTAAGAACTCTGGGTAGTGGCAGCAGGTGGCCCATTGATGAGAAAGTGGCTCCAGAGTTGTTTTTACAAGGGAAGGTTTCAGGACAGCTTTATACAAGAGCTTGGCTACGCTCAGCAGTCCAACAATATCCCTTTTGTAATGTGGGATGCAATGGCTCATGAGAATAGCAATGCATCATGGTGTGATGGTGCTCAAAAGAGTATACCAGGAAAGAATTTGTGGCCATTCCCATTGGACAATGGTGGCAGTCATTTCTTTTTCTAAGTATGCCCCTAGGAATGAAGTTACGTCGTATTAGGTTCCCATGGGGTGCTGTGTCCCAAATTAGAAAAGGAAAACTGCTGGAATGCTAAATGTCAAAGAAAAGGCATGAGAAGTGCTCTGCCACCTAACCTGTAGGGGTGTATGCATTTCCTGAAAATACATTAGAATTTGCCTCAAATTGCTAAATATATTATTTTCCTAGTCCCTTGAATGAGTTCAAACTATTTAGCTAAATCCTAGCCTGCCACAAACTCCATCCCTTAGAGAAATTTCCTCCTAGGTGTGGCTTCATGTATGGGATCTTGCCATGTCATATCAAAGACCACTTAGTCCAATACACAATGTTTGCCCTGGTGACCAACAGATGACTTTGAGGAGCCAACATGCCAGAGTGGTAATTCAGAGGCACCACACCCGAAAGCCACCAAAAAAGACACTCTGGAAAAGCAGGTTTCCAATACAAATCATATCCCAGTCTTGAAAGGCATTTTCATCAGAATAAGATGTTGAGGAAAACCATCTGTGCTGCTTCTGTCATTAATTTTCTCCAGGCAGGCACTAATGCAACTTTTACTAAGCCATGGCTCTAATAAAACCAGCAAAAAGATATAATCCTATCACCAACAATGTCGATTTAATCCCACCATGCAAAGGTTTTGACTTCCCAGACCTGAGCAAAACATCTGCAAGACTCTTCTCATCCTGGTCTTCTAGTACATTCAGCATTTCCCCACCCTATTGGCCTCATTAGGATTAATTGTTTCCACCTTTTACAAATATCCTCAACTGATACTTTTACTTTTATATCAGCTGTTAAATGCATTCCTGGCCCAGGAGCTTCATAACTGGCCTTATGTTTGTCAGAGAAAAGATGTGCCAGGGATCCCCACCAGTTCAGCAAAAGCTTCCACAACACCTGTGCAGAACAGACAGAAACACTGAGATGGCCAGGAAAGTGTCAATCAGGCAAGAAAAACCTAATTAGCTCATGCTTGAAAAAGTAGGCATAACACAATTTTCAGGAGAAGATTCAGCACCATTTCCCGGCTTTTCAGGAGAAGATTCAGCACTATGTCTCTATATTTTGTGCCCCCCCCCGCCTCCCTCTTTCTCTTTAAAGGATATTTGCAAAGTTCCCCTGATAATTATATCTCTCATCTTCTTCTTGGGAAGAGAGCTATTAAGCAGGAGGTAAGAGGCGTAAAGATGAAAGGGATTTGGGGATTCATCAAGATTCGGTATGCAGATAATAGTGGTGAATCACACCATCTTGTGTTCCCATAATCCTTAGGTCCATCTAAGAGGTAGCATTATGCAGTTCCATTGCATACCTATTCTTCAGAATCAGCTGGATATCCAAGATCATCTCAAGGAGAATTTCCCCAGCAAATTCTCATCATCTTCTCTGATTCTTCCCTGCCTTTGTAATGATGCATTAAACATAGGATTTGTCTTCCTTTAGATTGTTGTTCTTTATGTTCCCACTGCTATTATGAATATGGCAGCTGAATAGTACATCAAAAACTTTAGTATAAACAGACTTTGTATTTCCTCTCTTTAGTTAGCTTGATGAAATTCCTGTTAAACACAAGCAACATTTTGACAATGCGCTAACATTTTGAATAATGTAGAAAAGAATCGGAAATGTTTTGCATAGACAGAGAAGAAATTGTTTTGTGGCATTCATCAAAATACTTTTCTATTCCCTCCAAATTACTTGAACTTAAGAGTCTATCAAACAAATTTTCATTATTTGTTCTGAATTAGAAGTGCTTTAAAACTAATAACAGCAAACAGCAACTAAAATATATTGCAGAAAAGGTCACAAAGTTTTAGGCATTTAAATCTGTTCTTGCTAAGAAAACAAATATTAATCTAGACAACAAAATTATCAATCACCACTTCTCTGCTCTCATTCACAAAGTTTTTTTTTCTTTGGTTTTTTGGGCATCTCAACAGAACTGATTTCAGTTTTGCATTTAATTAAAATTCAGAATTGGCATACCAGCATGATGGAAAATAAAAGTATTAATGCCCAGTCTTTGCTCAGTGATCATTCCTGACCTTCACTCCAGCCATAATTTTCACTTTTGCATCACAAAGGTTCTCTGACAAATACTCTTAAACAAGCTTAATGGCACGTTAAGTCGTGAAATACAGAAAAGGCAGTTATTATAGTGTTTGTCACTGTGCAACACAACCTTAAGCAGCTTCACTTGGAAGGAAGCTCCACTAAGTTTAATGGGACTCATCTTAAATTTGAAGAAGCCAATGTGTAGTCAAAATGACTGTCACAAATTAGAACATTCTGTTTCACCCAAGTGAAGAATGCTGGCTTCTATAAAACCATGCCTGCCCCAAGCAGCAGCACATGGACACTATATTCTAATGATCACCAAGCAGCCTGTAAACAATGAAAGTGCTACTTTCACAAAGGAGAGGAAATGATATGCTATACATGCTCAAGGGTGCTTTAATCACTTCTATAAGATTTCTTCCTCTTCAGGGAAAGGAACTTCATATATGTTTAGAGGAGTTCCACCTAGATGCTGTCTGCCAGCATTGCTATAGGAAAAAACTAGCAATCTTGAGCATAAACATCCTGTAAACAACTGAAGTGGTACACAATATTCCCCAGACCAGAAGGGACCAGTTAGGATGTCATTAGAAAGAAAGAAATATGCTCATATTACACCAACTTGCTTGAATAAATATTTGGCAAATTAGCTAGCTTTTGTGTTTGTGTCTGTTTTATGTTCATCAGGAAACAGACACAGGCTTTATTTGAATGTTTGATTCCTGCACATATAGGTTTGAAGGATTTCTGTGCTTAGAAGGGACACATTGTAAGAGCATAAAGCATGCATTTCCCTAAACATGTAACCTGCCCCAAGATTACTCCAGGGATAATTATTTTCCACCAGACATCACTCCCTCCCTCCCTCCCTCCCTCATTTACTTCCTTCCTTCCTTCCTTCCTTCCTCATTTAATATATTCTTACCCCACCTTTCTCCTAAAAGGGACTCTTTTCTTTCACATTCTTAAATGTTCCTGCCCATTCCCCTCTTTTTTTCCCTCTTCTCTTTGGAAGAGGACAAGGCAGCATCCCCTCCTTGCAAAAAGAAAAGAGTCCATACCAAATGAAAGGAGGCGGTAGTGAACAGATCATGAAGACAGAAAGGACTAATATTTCAAAAAGAGAAAGAGCCATTGTGACGGCATTATGAACAGTGTGTGGAGTAATTTTGGAAAATGAGCTACACAATATTAAGCTGGAAACATGTCTATGATGGGAAGACCAGATGAAGGAAATAAAACGTTTGAAATGTCCTCCATCACTGTGATTGCCAGAAAGAGTTGGCTAGAATGCATTTTTAAGGGAACTGGTCTATAACTCTCCTATTTATCTGGTAGCTAGGTTCTTCAAAGCAGTCTTAGATATGTGTTACACCTCACTGGGGAAGTCCCTTCTAGCCCAAGGTTATGATAATGGGTACTAGGAGATGAAGTCCCTTAAGAAAGCAATTCATTAGCCTAGGGACACTTGAAAAGGATTAGCAGCAATGATAGGTGATTGAGGCATCTATAACATCAAGAATGGTGCTGTATAAAGTAAGCCTGAGAGATTTGAGAGAGAAAGAGATTTAGCATCCTCACATAAAGGCCAAGGTTGTCTATCAAAAATTGGATTTCCTTATGCCTGGGGAGATCCAGTTCGGGTAACAGCATGGGATAAGAAAAAGCAAGAGAACAAGATCAGCTAGAACTTTCTTATTTTCCTAAGTATGTGCCTCCTTTAAGATGATCCAAGATTGGTTTTGTAACTTCCTATAACCTTGTTCTATTTTCCTTTTTAAACTTTTCTATTTTATCCTGTTTTATTTAATCATTTTATTTCTAATAAAACATATTCTATCCAGGTGTTGGTTGGATTTTGAGTGCAGAAAAAATCCGGCTTCACTAAACTACCAGGGTTGTTGAGGTAAGGAGAACAGATGTGGGGATGATGGCAACTGTTCTGGGTGCATTGAGTACTGTTGAGTAACACTCTCTAAAAGGAACATCCACAGAAAGGGGGTTGTATGCCAGGCAGTGGAGCGAAACAGTTTGGATTATACTCAGTGGATTTTCTCACCTCTTGTGTCTTCTTTGGGTCTGTCTACCTCAAGGGGGAAAGGGACAGAGGAGTAGAGAGATTATTTGAGGAGTGGATCAGGACTGCTGAGCAGAAGAGCTGTATCGTGACAGCCATTAAGAAAATAACATCCAGCAAGAAAAGGTTGAATTTCTTTGAAATACCCTATGCAACAATTTGCAAACTTCAGTTAATAAAGACAGGCTCAGCTATTAGGCACAGCAGGGCAGCTATCTCTAGCAGCAGATTTGGAGTGTCATGAAAGGGTGTCAAAAAGCTATTTAATGCAAAATCACTGTAGGTTTGTGTGTGTGTGTGTGTATGAGAGAGAGAGAGAGAAATGCTGGTGGGGTTTTCTCTTCATCTACCCAAAATAACTTGACCGTCTTGGAGTACACATCTTGATTTGGATGGAGTGGGGGCATTATTTGGTGCTAGGCATCAGTCAGCAAAATGTCTTGGCCTGGCCTTGGGTTTAGGCCTCTGAAAATGTATAGTTCTTACGGGTTATGTGACTGTGTAATGCACCCACAAATGCTCTGGCTAATTGAAAGCAAGACTGTTTGTCAAACTAAGGAGAAAGCAGGCCTTTTCATTGGATGCTTACATGCAGAAGAAGAAAATAAAGCACATCATGGCTTCCCTTACATAACAGATCATTCTCAGAGCTATTTCAGGAGAGGGAATTCCTGTTCAACTCCTTGCAGTCTATATACTACAGACATGCTTCAGATTTGGATGCGGGCCAAGGAGAAATTCAGCAAAAACAGTGGGAGAGTATTCCTGAACATTGCACACAGACCTAAGAGTGAATTCATTGGCTGCTACAACTAAATTTCAACACAGAATAATTACTAGGCTGTCCTTTCATCCACAGAAAAGTAAATGTTCAGAATAGAGACAGCAAGAGACGAAAGGACTCACGCCTTGATTTAATGCACTACTGTGAACACTTCAAAAAGATAGACTTGTGATAGTGTCTTAAAGTGAATGCGGGGTGCATGAAATGAAAGAGGTCTATGATCTTTCACAGGCCAGGCATGTTGTAAAGTTTAGACCAAAGAGACTTTTAAAAAATATTGCAGGAACCCTGTGAAACATTTAAGATGGTAAATAAAAGACCAGTCTGCATTCAAAATAGATAGCTTTGCTACCTTTGGATTTAAACTTCATAGCTGGTATTACCCTTCTCAGGTCCATAAAGAAGTAGACACTGTAATGGGTGAAAATCTCTCAGAGATGAGCACCGAGGTAGGAAATTGTTGGCTCTGTAAACACATTGGAATGAAAATGCACAAGATTGTGGCAACTGAAGTCCTGAACATCTGAAGGGTGAAAGTTTCTCCACCCCCACTGTATACAATAGCGTACACTCTTGCAGGAAAAATGACATTTGTGAAAGCTCTCAACTCTGAACCTCTATAGAGAGCCACAAGTGTGACTTTCAAGACTGATTGCTATACAGCATACTTCTATTTTAACATACATCTATTTTAATTTATGTTAAATTAGTTCTTCATATTCTGGCTTGACAGCCTTCTTGAGGCCGTTGCATTGTAATTCAAGGATGGCACTTTTCGAATCCACCTAATTTTATACGAAAATGGGAAGTTCTTCATTAAGCACTAATCAGTCTTTTGATCCACCATGCCTTATTCCTCAGGGAAGCCATGCAGAGTTATATTAATATGCCACCTTTATTTTTTAATATGTTCATAAAAATTTAATCAGATAAGAGAGACTCTGGTGTATGAATATGATTAAAGTATTTACACTGACTACATCCCAAATAGTGAACCTAATAATTTAATAAAAATCTATTTTTATAGCCAACCCCCAGTTTCCATCTAGTTACCACTAGTAACTTTTCCCCCTTTACTTTTTAACTGTCTCAGGGTAAGGGCATGATTTGAATAAGAATCTATATACCATACTGAAACTCCATACCTGGAAAGTACAGGTCTTGCATCATGACATAGGCATCTCATGCCTAAGAAGAGAAACTATTATCAATTAAGAAAGAGAATCGTTTATACATAAAGCAGTAAAACTGCATGCACATTATTCTAAAATTGCTCCCAGAGTGGGAAGAGACATGCTGCTTTTCGAAAGCAGGGGTCTAACCTCTTAGCAGTCAGAGCTGAAGTGGCATAAATTTTAAAGAAGCCTCTACTATTCTTCTCCAGGAACAGTGATAGATTCTTTAGATCAGTGATGGTGAATTTGTAATGATCCAGGTGTTGCTGAACTAAAACTCTCATAATTTGTGCTCATCAGTTTTTCTAGCTGGGCTGACGGGAGCCCTACACCATCTGGAAGCCTATAAGTTTCTTACAAATGCTTTAGACCTTGGTTACCATGACTGCTTTCATCTTTAATAAATACCATTATTCATATAACTGTACAAAATAAGGTCTCTTTCTTCAAAACACTTTCTCAGGTGAACAGAAGAGACCCTGAAGCTGGATGCATGTGCCTAGTCAGAAATAGAATAATAGAGTAATCAAGTTCAGTGCTTAATTTGAACTCATTAGTACCCGGATTCTCAAATATAATTTCCAAGATCTCCAAGTCTTCTGCTCTTTTCTCCTGAGAAGGTAAGGCAAGTAAGGGCAACCCACCCCTTTTCACCTGGAGACCATGAAACGTGGATACCATGGACATAGGCTGCCCTGCTTATGTCCACTGCATCAGGCTTCTGAGTCGGCAGCACCCAATTCCCTGAGACATCAGGACTAAAACCTGAGATCAGGGTCAAGCCCTTGTGATCATAACAGGTAGGCCTTTGTGATGTCACAGGGCAGAAACCTTTTTCTGGTCAGATGATTAAAGAAAAAGACGCCATGGAATCCAAGTAAATGGGCCAAAAATCCCCCAGAATCACCTGCTATACCAGGTTATACAGCAGCTCAAAACCAGGAGAAGTCCCCAGTTTTCAGTTGCCAGACAGGCAGCAAAATAAGGTGAGCAGCTGCAGAGACTGCTCTCCTTCTTATGAGGAACTCGACCCCCAGAGAGCCTTACACCCAGCCAACATGACATGGGGGAATTTCTCCAGGCTCTGTTCTGCTATAGGGGAAAGCAGAACTTTTTGCCACCAGACAGTTCATGGAGCACTTGACCCCCAACAGGCCTTATGCTGCTCCCAGTGCTTGTGGAGGAAGGTTCATGAACTGCAGTGGTGACACTCCACTTCAGTCTTGCTTGAATGGCATGATGGGCTGGAATGGATGCAAGCGTTATCGTCCCCTCCCCTTGCTCCTAACATTTGAGGGCAGCAATGTACATAAGCACAACACTCATGAAAACACTCTTGCTCTGAGTCCTGGTATCAGCTGGGAATAGGTGGAGGTTTGAAAGCCAGGCTAAAGCTACTTTGCACCAACATAAATCAAGTTTTCTCCTTTTCCAATGTGACTTGCCTTGAAGAGACCTGGAGAAATCTAAGAATAGTCTGGAACTTCACCTGGTGTCCTGAGATCTCACAGTCCCACCACTGCATTATTTATAAATCTCCCTTTCAAAGGTTAAGGGACATGGTGGCGCTGCAGGTTAAACTGCAGATGCCTCTGCGCTGTAAGGTCTGTAGGTCTTCAGCTGTAAGATCGAAACCATGTGACGGAGTAAGTGCCCATCACTTGTCCCAGCTCCCACCAACCTAGTGGTTCAAAAGCATGCAAAATGCGAGTAAATAAATAGGGACCACCTCGGTGGGAAGGTAACAGCATTCGTGTCTAAGTCGCACTGGCCATGTGACCACGGAAGAGTGTCTTCGGACAAAACACTGGCTCTATGGCTTGGAAACAGGGTTGAGCACTGCCCCCTAGAGTCGAACACGACTGGACAAAAATTGTCAAGGGGAACATTTACCTTTACCATTCAAAGGTTATAGAGTTCAACACATAGAAGCACTTGTCGTAGAAAATGCTTAGGGGCTTTTAAAGGAAGATATCGGTGACAGCAAAGTTCACAACTTTGAGAACAGAACTACTGTACAACCTATTCAGAAGACCAGCAAAGCTTTACCCACAAGTAAAGTCTGTTGGCTTTCTTTTAAAAAAAAATCAGAAAGGCAGCTTCATAAGCTATACCCATGAAATCCACCACTTTCCATGTCCTCAGTTTTCATTTTCACTTTTTTTCCACTAATTATATCTCAAGGCTACTATAGAATGAATCAAGGTTGCCAGCCAACTAACTAGCTTCTGGAGAAATCCTGGAAGAAGTTTGAGTGCAGGTTTGACAGCTGTATTGAATTTAGTGACTGGAAAACATGTGGGAGAGGTCTACTTTTCTTCCCTGTCTCTTTCCATCGATTAAAGGCTGCAAATATTATATGAATCAGTTTTATGTGAGGTTACGTTATACGACCAACAAGAATCTTTTTGATTCTATGCATAACCCTCCCCCCACCTGGTTCCACATCTCAACACATTTTGTTCTTACCTCTAGACCAACAGCACTTCCAGATCATGCCCTGAAAGAACAGAAATCCTCCCAGAACCCAGCAACAAAAGGATGGCATGTGATGAGAAGGAAAAAAAGATATACTGAAAAAGTTCCAAAGTGTCCAGCACATTGCAAACAACAGGCGGCTCTTGAGAGGAAATGGCTAACAAAAATAGCTGCAATAAAATAACCTGTTCCATGGGCAGAAAGGGGCGAGGTTGCGGGGAGGGAGAGAATGCTTGATTCCAGTCTCAATAGTGGCATGATCCCCCAAAGGCTCACACTCATCTTGAACCTTACATGTATATTAGCATGCAAAGCTGAGCTAATGACTAGGGAAAAGGAAGCACACATACCATCTTGTTATTATTCATGCCTATCATCCTGCTGTAGATAAGGTTTAGAAATCCTAGAGAGCATCAAAAGAATCTCTGATGACTTCCCAACAACATCTTTGGATATCTGTGACTTGCCTATTATTATTATTAAGAGGAATTTAACTGTGGCTGAACAAATTCAGCACATGGACGTCCAGGAATGTGGTTTGAATAGCAGGTCTTCCAGACTACATTCAAAACTGCTGTTGAAACATGGTGGTCAATAGGACTCTCCCATGCTGTAAAGGAAACTTACTTTTACAAAGAAAAAATTCAGGACAAAACACAACTGAATGAGGAGAACTTCTTAAGTCCACATGTATACATATACCATTGATTCAGTGGTCTGTTCTGCTCATGACAAATTTGTGTGTGTCCCCCCCCCCCTCTACAGACAGTACGTTCTTGGAGCAGACAAGTATCTGGTCATAGTTTTCTCTCTCCTGACTAGGTCAGTCCACTGATCTGGGAGCTTAGTGGGAAAGTCCTTGAGCTTTCCCACAACAATTTGTTGTGTTTTCCAGGAGATCTACAAAATAAAGTAGAAAGAGACAGATAGGCCTAGATCCTTGGATGAGCTACAGTCCTATCAGGATGACCTACAGTCCTAACCCAATATGACTTAGAGTCAGCAGAACTGATACTAAGCCAACTGAAGCTGTGCTATATCCAAACCCCACCCAGGCTAGTGTTGCTGGAAATTATTTGGGACTATCCTCACCCTGGTCTAACTGTGTGCCAGCATAGTGGCAGTATCTCTAGCCTGGAAGATTGATTGATTGATTGATTGATTTTGATTTGTACTCCGCCCATCTGTTCTATAAAACCACTCTAGGTGGCTAGAGTGGCCTATAAGACCACTCTAGTTGCAAAGGTTTCCAACACTTCATCCTTTTGCTTCCTTTCTCCTCCTTCGTTTCCTTTGCAACTGGTCTAACACAGCATCTCACTCATTCTTCCCCTTCATGTTGGAAAATATAAACTTGCCTGCTTTTTCCTTTCAACATTAGGCATCATTGGGGACCATGCTCTGAACCTGCTACTAACTCAGGGTATAATCGGACAGCTGCAAAGACACATGCCTGATCATACTGAAAAGGATCGCTTTTGCAGGAGCAATCTCCATTAAAGCAAGCCTTCTGTCCTCTGGGGAATTGCTCCAGCCTGGCCTTGGCCTACAATTGGCCCAAAAGGTCCAGCTTGGGCATGGATCTAGGTTGGCCAAATCCTTTCCCAATGTGTTGTGTGGTCACCAGGAAATAGATCACACCAGACTGCTCCACAAGTGACCCAACTGCAACATATTTCCCCGTGTGAGCACACCCTTAGAGGATTTTTCCTCCACTCCTCAGAATCATCGAGACCAACACTTCATCCTTTTGCTTCCTTTCTCCTCCTTCGTGTCTCCTCTCTCCTCCATTCGCTCCCCTCTGAAGAGGACAGATGTGTGGCTCCATACTATTCTTTAATTAAACATTTTATTGATTATCAGTTGTGTATAGATATACGTATGTGCATACAAGTTTTTCATCAATATGAAATTGGTACAAATCCATACTATGAATATCATAATTAGAAATTGAATTGAAAATTAAATATACTGTATATATATTTTATTCCATTAACCAAAAACCACCCAGATTGACTATTTTTTCCTTTTCTATGGTTGGGAAAGTCCCTTTCCAAGAGAGAGAGTGAGACCAGGCAGATGTCTCTACACTTTTTACAGATTTTAGCTGGCAGAGTAGTTCCGCTGGCAGGACTCTGAAATCAGTCAGCAGAACTGCCAACCCAAGAGCTTTTCCACTGGCACAAAGGGATTTCTGATGACAGGAGGAGCTCCCCATTGCATCTTTGGGTTAGTTTTAAAATCTTAGTTGCTGGTTTTCTGTTACAGATATTTTAAAGTATCTGTAGCTCTCCTGAAAAACAGAACTCTCGAATTGGCCTTCTCAGCCACACTAGATGATGTTCCATGTCCTCTATACAGAGCATGTCACCATAGTCTCTCGAGACTGAAGGATGCCTAATCTAAATATTTTAAAAGTCCTTGTGGATCACACAACAGGATCCTGCAATACAGCATCCAGTTTCTGCATTTCTTACCCTTAGATGCTTAAGATCTCAGTAGTAGGATCCACCCACACATTAGCCTCAGTCTTTTATAGATATTGTTGTGTTGATTTGATGAATCAGGTTGTAACAACAGAACAAAAGGAAGAAGATGGAAACAAATAGAGGTGATATGGTTAGGAGGCCATCATTTTAAAAGGCCCCTTGGAATATTTCTCAGGTTGCACTCCCACCTAAGAGGGGAGAGGAGGCCAGACTCCATTTTGTGTGGTAAGAGAGAGAGCTGGAATGAGCTATTTGAGTTTGACTGGTAGAGTCACTAAGAAGGGTAAAGGATTTGTTTCTGGGATGGTCTTGTTACTTTGGGAATGATGGTGCCATGAGTCAGGTACAACCTCTTTTTTCACTGTCTTCCTGTAACTTTGTGAATAAAAAGAATGCAAAAAAAAAAAAAGACACCAATCTCTTGTATTCATTCTCCTATAAAAAAAAAAAAAAAAAAAAAAACCAGACACCAGTCTCTTGTATTCATTCTCCTAAAAAAAAAAGAGCTAATATATGGTGCAGGGTGGCATTCACTGGTACATATCTGTCTATAGGGCATATGTCAACAGGTGGTGGAGCCGCAGCAGCATGCATTTGGTTTGTTTCCTAGTCAAGGATTATGTAACAATAAATCTTGCAGGATATCGAAGCCTTGTGCTGAGCCTATGACTCAGCAGCAGCAATGTAAGTATAGACCTAAGAAAAGGGTAGATCTAGTGCACGAAAACACCTGAGCTATTTGCCTTTGACTTCTCTCCTCCCTACAACTAAC